GCAACATTTTGGAGAACGTGGAGCATACAAGATCCATCTCTTATTTTTGTTATACTTTTGGTGTCTATTGAAAATTTACAGAACACGCTTGTAATTAAACTCACTATGTAAATGAAATGGTTGTATGTTTCTTGTTTTTACTATATTGCAATTGTGATGATACTATACATGACGTCCTCCACCCCGAAACGTATTCCGCCGTTATCGGTTTTGGGGTGTGACAGTTTTTGGAATGTTTACTTGTCTTAGGCATTGTGTAATTGTTGGAGAGTTTGCTTGGACGATTTGTTATTTTTGTATCGACTCGAGACCGATCGATTTGTTTATAACGATATTTGGAGTTATACATGTATTCGTTGTTCAATTTTTGTAAGTCGTAGGTTAGTATTTTTGACTCAATATTCTATAAATTAAATAATTGGTTTAAAAATAGTGGTTTGACCTTTTCAACCTTTCTTTCTACAAAATAACAATTTTACTTGTTTATATAAAAGAAAAGTCATTTTAAGCCCTTAAAACATTTTCTTGACACTTTTGCATCATATACTTGTTTGAATGATATTTTTAACTCAAGACTTATTCTTTGGCAGTTTCAGCCGTTCCACAATAGTATTTTTCGGTTAAAACCTAAATTTTTGCAATTTTTACAATTTTAGCCCAAAATCTAAAAACTTTGCATTTTGATCGTTTTTGGAAAAGAAAAGCATTTTTAACCCTTGACATAGTTTTGTTATACTTGTTATCCCCTCTTTTGAAGAATTTACCATTTCAGCCCCTTTAAATGTCATATTTTCGCAATTTTGGGCTTATTGGGCCGAAAAGCCCAAAACTAAGCCCATTAAGCTAATGTTTACATTTTAAGTCCTTTGAAGATCATAATGTTCATAAAAACAATTATTGTAACTGTTTTGACTCTTTTGACCTTCAAGAAACCGTGATTGGCAACTTTTAACCCAACTTTTGTATACTTGACAATTTAAGCCAAAAAATGGGTTTTATATTGAAATATGTTTATCACATTCTTATAAGTTGATATTCTTGACTTGTTTAGTGTAATATAACTTAGATCATTTTTTTTTTCCTTCTTATAGTATAGATCTCGAGATTTCCGCCTTTTTGGTTACATATTCATCACAAAAACACATAAAATCACACATACATGCATAAAATCATATATAGCTTACACATACACATAGATCTACACAATTTTCTTGTATTCTCCCCCATAAAACTTTTGAAAACCGAAAAGAGAGGGTTATAAAGCTCACCTTGAGTTATGGGTTCGGTTTAGAAGGAAGAAATGGAGAAAGTTTCGATCCTAGCAAGCCTTCTTGGAAGATCTCGAACTTAGAGGCTTCTAAGATGGTGATCATGAGTTTGAATAGATTAGCAAGAGGTTTTTGATGAAATGAAGTTGTTAGATCATAGATTAAACATCAACTTACCTTAGATGATGAATTTTATGGAATAATCTCCATGAAAAGCCCTTAGATCTCAAAAATTTGATGAAGAATGAAGAGAGTTTCTTTGAGAGTGTTTAATTGGAATGTGTGTGTGTGTGTGTGTGTTTCTTTGTGGTTCTCGTCTGAGGATAGAAAAGAGAGAGGAGAAGAGAAGTGAGTGATATGATGTATACATGGATGTATGTGTTATTTGCATGGATACCCAAAATGTAATAAGGAGGTAGCAATGGAAAGTCAACTCCTTCCTCTTTTGAGTTATTGGGCTGAGAAGAGGAGAAAGGAAAGAAAGAATATTGGGCTTCTTGTTCTTAAGTCCATCTTATGGCCCAATTAGGTGAGTTTTGGCCAAAATAGATCAAGGAATGATTTTTATGATCCACTAAGGCTATATAAATTTGTTGTGGTCCGCTAAGGCCTATTAAAGATAACCTAGTTCATTTTTGGCTTATAAGGCCCAAAATATTAAGTTTCATGTATATGGGTCCAATTAGGGTATTTTATTTCATTCTAGGCCCATTATGGCCCAAAATGTTAAAATAAATGGAAGTGGGTCCAATTAGAGCCCATTTAAGAGTTCTAAGCCCTAAATAATCAAATTGGAACCTTATTGGCCCATTAGGCCCAATAAGGAAATTCTTAGTCCATAATGGACTTAAACCGGGATTTCTAGGGTTTCCAATTCTTTTTTGACTATTTGAAGTGTTTGTATAAGGTGTTTGATTGAAGTTTTGTTGTTATTGAATAAGCATCATGCATGCTTTCACATTGTTGGTTTACAGTTGGTATAATTGTTGTTGTTACAAGACATCAAAATTCCTAGTTGTGACACTTAAAGAACCATTCACTGTAGAAATGGCTAATGGGAAAACTGAGAGCACTAGCATTATATACATAGGATGTACTCTAACACTAGATAGCCATACCTTTCCCATCTACCTCATGCCGGTCTCAATTAAAATTTTCGATGTCATTATCGGCATGGTTTGGTTTAGGGATGAGCAAAAGGACCGAACCGACCGGAATCGGACCGGACCGGGGAACCGGCTTCGGCCAAAATCAAGAACCAAACCGGCCCGGCGGTTCTACCGGTTCCTACCGGTTCTTGTCGTGTCTTCAAATGTTGGAACCGCTCCTTGAAATATAGCATCATACGGTTCCGGTTTTTGCCGGTTCTACCGGTTCCGGTTAAATCGGTTCCGGTTCCTACCGGTTCCCGGTTCCAAAAATCCACAAAAATAATGTCCCGGTCCCAGCCCGATCGGTTCCATCGGGTTCCGGTTCCGGTGCCGGTTCCGGTTCCGGCCGGTTCCCCGGTCCATATGCTCATCCCTAGTTTGGTTGAGTCTTCAGCTTGCTGACATCATGTGTTATGAAAAAGTTGTTCGCCTTAATCTTTCGTCTTGTGAAACCCTTATTATCTACTGTCACACCCCAAAACCAGAACGGCGGAAACGTTCTGGGGTGGATGACGTCATGTCAAGTATCACAACACATGCATTATAGTAATCAAAGTACAACAAAACATTGCATTAATAGTAATAGTTTTACATGGTTACATTACAAGGTATCAAAGTAATACAAGTGAATATAATAAGTACAGCAAGGTACTAAGCCATCTTCATCAACAGCTCCGGGATGTACCTGTCTAATTGCTGACCTGAGAATACAAATTATTTGAAAAGCGAGTATCAGCATTTTTACAAATGCTGGTGAGTTCATAAGTATTTAGTGTTGTTTAGTCAAATAACTTTATAAAGTAGTAATTTAAGTGTTTACAGTGCATTAGAGTTCTTTCCAGAAAACCCTATATTTTCTTTAATAAAAGCAGCCTTCTACCAAGACTGGTTAGTGTTATGTGGTAAAAAGTAGTTTTCCCTAAATTGCTATCATTATCAAAATACTGAATTTGATTATTAAAGAAAGCAAGAGATAACAGGGAAATAACATATGCCTCAGCAGTGAGGACTGCTGACTAAGGCAAAGGAATCATAGACTCCAGGAGAGTATCGAACTAACGACATGTCTGGTTCAGTCTAACAAGTAGAGACTCAGACCCCAGAAGGTACCAAATGAAAGGTAAGGCTAGTATGGTCTAAAACAGTGAATACAAACCCCAGATAGTATCAAATGAAAGATACGTCTCGTAAGGTCAAAACAATGAATACAGTGGATACAGTGAATACAGTGGATACATACCCCAGACATTATCAAATGAATGATGCATCTAGTAAGGTCTAAAACAGAGAAAACAGACCCCAGACAGTATCAAATGAAAGATACGTCTTGTAAGGTCAAAACAGTGTGACTCTGAAAATGAATTACCAGCATACAGTGTAAATTGCTAGCGAAATACCGTTACCTTAAAGCCATGAATTATAAGGTAACCGGGGATACTCGTAACCATACTGACTAGAGTACGAGACGCCCTACAAGCGTCTAAAATGTGACATTTGTCACCCGTTGGCTTGGTAGGCCGGGACTGTAGCTAGCAGTCTGGGTGCGGGGTTGTCAATCCCGTATAGATCTATACACACAATTTCCGCTCTCCCTACAGGAGACTCTGGTTACCAACTAGACGACGGAGAAGGCCGTGTCCTGAAGATGCATCCCAAATAGTGGGTAGAGACTTCCAAATAGTGGGTTTCTAATGTAAGTGCTGAACTAGAGGTAGAGACTCATAACTGAACTGACTGAAGTAAACCCATATGTCTATGCTTGTGTACATAATATATAACTGATGAATCAAACGAACTTCGGATGGACATCCGATCCCACCAGACCACATCTCAACGAAGAAAAGGAAATAGGGCGGACAAGCCTTCCTAAGTCCTTCAATCATTATTTATATGCATCTATACAAGCACAAACATACATCTAACTACGCTTGAGTGTGTATCAAGTGGAATCATACAGTGAAGTATAAGTGTATAGTGTGGAATAACCGACTTGTGAAGTATAAGCGTACAGTGAAATATCCGAGTTGTGAAGTATAAGCATACAGAGTGGGATAATTGAATCGTGAAGTATAAGTGTACCAAGTATAAGTGTATCACGAAGTAGAGACGACAATAAGTGAAGTAAAAGCGTCTATCAAGTATAAGAGGCTACAAGTATAAGCGATATAGAGACAAAAATCCAGTATAAGCGTATAGCGAAGTGAAAGCGTTATCGAGTAGGAGTTTAAAATAAGTGAAAGCGAAGCAGCGGTAACTAACAAGTAGAAGCATATAATGTGAAAATCTTGGAAAAACCTTTATACTTAGGAAAATCACATTTTGGTATTCTTTGGCAAAATAAGTGTGAAAACCTTTAGAAATCTTTGGAATCTTTCATAAACCAGTTTAAGTAAGAGTTTTGA